AAAAAAAACTAATAATGTTCTCAGTTTTATTGAATAGTTGAATCAAACAAATAAGTAAAAGGTTAAAAACGTTTAATCTCATCCTCTTTTTTTATCAGTTAGTGAAACAATTATTTTAAACATTACTATGCAAAATTGATAATGTTCTTAGTTTTAAAAATTGAGAAAAACTAATCAGTGTGTTTGGTTTGAGTTTTTTGAATTAAGTTTTTTAAAAATTGAGTTTTTTTTTTCGTGCTTTTTTGTTTTTAGTGAATTTTTTAAAATTTTAAGCATTTTTTTTTTACTTTTTAAAATACATCTTACTTAGATGCGTTTAAAAAGTAAAATATTTTTAAAAATTAATAAACACACAAAAATACGAAAAAATATACTGAATTTTTGTATTTTTTTATATTTTTGGTATTTAGTGAATTTTTAAAGATTTTTTTCGCAAAAATTATACTTTTTAAGTATATTTATGTTAGGTGTGTCTAAAAATTTAAAAAATTGCTTAAAATATTTTTAAAAATTAATAAAAAGAAAAAAATACCAATAACAAGAAAGTAGAATTTTTTGAAAACTGTTTTTAGAAAACTCAAACCAAGCAAAGTGAACATATTCTTAGTTTTACTAAATAAGACTTATTGGTTCAAAAAATCTTAGATAGAACCTGAGCTACCATAACATTTACAAATAGGACTTTTAGGCAATTAACTCTTTAAATAATAACACTTCTCGACAAATAGTAATAGAACAAAATAATACATTAATTAAGTAATAAAAAGAACTTAGCAAAGAATTTAAAAACAATCAATTAAAAATTATAAATAAAATCTAACATATAATATTAGATAAAGGCAAGCATGTATCCATTGCAGAAGATAAATAAAAAAATACTATAGATAATTACCTTATCCTAATAAAGAAAATTTAATATATGGATAGACACCCACTTTTGAAAGACAGAATAAAAATTTAAGTTTTTTTTTTTAAGTAAAATTTTACCTAGATAGGATTTTTTTATTAATTTATAATATTCATGAGCTTTTATTTTATTTTTCTAATCTTTTTAGGCATTAAACAAGTTTGAATTAAATACTTTAGGAACTTAGGGTGTGTTTGATTGGACGGACTGGAAAATGGGGGATTAGAATCCATCGGACTTGAGTCCTGGGACTGTGAATCCCCCGGACTATTTGGTCGGATTGGATATGTATTCTGTGTTTGTTTTTTCGTGGGATTAAATGTCTGGATAGGACTATTTTTAGTGAATCCAACGTTTGGTTGGACGGACTGGATAGCATAAATGAACAAAAGACTATTTTACCCTTTTTCAATTGTTTACTAAGTAATAGCAATATTAAACATATCTTTAATATTTTAATTATTTTTAGTAAACATTAAACATACTAATGGTTAAATTTTGTTTAAAGATATTTAAACATACTAATATTGATAAAAAATTTTGACTGGTATAGATTATTTTTATTTAAACAAATAAAAATTTATTGTTGAAATTAAACATACTAATGGTTAAATGTTTAAATTTTTATTTAAACAATTAACATTGAAATTATTTTGATGTACAGATTATGTTTAAACAATTAACAAATGTTGATGTAATTAACAATTAACAAATGTAGATGTAATCAAATGTTGACGTATTAAAACATAATTTAATAGATGTTAAATAAATATACATGTTGATGTACAAATGTTGAAATAATTTAATAAACATGTTGATGTACAAATATTTAAATGTTTAAATAAAACATAATTTAAATAAATGAAATTATTTATTGTTGAAATTAAACATACTAATGGTTAAATTTTGTTTAAAGATATTTAAACATACTAATATTGATAAAAAATTGACTGGTACAGATTATTTCAATTTTTTAGTAAACACCTAAGAATTTTAATATAAACAAAAATTTAAAATAAAACATCAATAAAATATCTATAAAAAATTATTTTAAAAAATTAAATAAATAAAACATTAATAAAAAGTTAAATAAAATTATTTTATTTTTAAATTGAGACATTTAAATTTTATTAAATATAATACATAATTAAATAGTAGAGGGTCAAAATTGTCATTTTCGCATCTAATCCAAACAGTGATTAGTCCCCCCAAAACAATCCCACCCCCCAGGACAGGATAGTCCCCCATATGGGGGACATGGAGTCCGCCGGACTAAAAAAAAATCAAACGACGGATAAGGAGGGAGGCCGGACATGGAGTCCAAATAGTGGATAGTCCCCCCCTTATCCCCCCAATCAAACACACCCTTAATGGATTCAATCGATAGTTTATGGACTAAATAGACTTTGATTTATTTACTTCAAGAACTAAATAGATTCAATCGAGAGTTCAGAAACTAAATAAATAATTTGACGATAATTTAAATATATAAAGTGTGATAAATCCTAGAGAATATAAACTAATTGCCATATAAGCGTATGTGTATTCTAAAAAAATCAAACTATTTATGCTTTGCTCAATTAAAACTAGTTTTAGATTGATTCTTAAAAAGTAAACGAACCAAGTTTAAACAAACCACATGGCTCATGTTAAAGAGTTGTTTAGAAAGTGTTAAATAAATATATTTTTTAATTTTTTATAAAAAAAATATACAAAAAAAATAAAAAGGTAACGTGACCAAAAAAAGAAAGAAAAAAAGAAAAAGAAAAAAAGTATAACGGTAGCACTTCCTAAACAAACTCCACGTATATAAATAATAAAGTCATTCCTCTCTCAAACAATTCTAGATAAGTTGATAGTTAACAATCAAACATCAAATTAAATAGTAAATCATGTGTTCATACATTACTAAGCTAACCAAATAATTACAACACACTTATATATATATATATATATATTTATTTAATTCAAGGTATTTTTTACCTAGTCTAACCTAATTACCTAATATCTGAACAATTGATAATTAATTTTTAAAAATTTTAAAATTAACAACCCGACAAACCTTTGATAACCATTTGGAGACTCGAATTCAAGATTTTAAATCTTATTATCAGATTTTTACTCCTAAACTGACTCTTTGAGATTCCAAATAATTAGAATGCTTTACTTATCAATTTACATAAGGGAGTTTATATAAAAAAGCACGTTAAGTATATAAATAATAATAAAATAATTCACACATAAATTTACTTGTTATATAAAGGAGAGTTTGGTTACACGTGGAGATGAGTAAGTGCGTCAATGCAAGTATCAACGATCTAACAGTTCAGAGACATAGCTTAGGCGAGAATGCCGGTTTTCAGGTGCATATTCGTCGGACAATTCGAGGACTCTGTTTTTTGTTCCTTTTCTTTTGGACAAATTACATATACTTTTCTCGAAATTTAGTTAAATTATAGATATTTTTTGAGATTTTAAAAATTACATCCCGCCCCTTGAGGTTTATATTTTTATAATAATTTGTCTCCTAAGATTTATATTTCATAACAAATTACTCTCTAATTTCTTATGCAAATATAACATTCAGAGATAATTTGTAATTTTTCAAACCTGAAGAAGATATTTATAATTTAGTCAAATCTCGAGGAATATATATAATTTGACCTTTTCTTTTGAATCCAAAAAAAACAAAAAAAAAAAAAACAGCTGTGTTACACGTTCGTCGTGGTCATGATGATGGCCCATGTGTTTATTACACTAGACGGCAATTTAAGGATTTTGTTCGGCCTAATTTTTAATAATTTTAAAATTAATAATTAAGAAATAGAAATTAAAAATATTTTTTACTTATTTTTCAATAATTAATTTATTTAATTTATTTTTATCTCATAAATTATAAATAAAAATTACACTAAACAATCTGATATAAATTTCAAAATAATATATATATATATATACAAGGAGCTCCATAAATAAATAAAAAAAAAAAAAAAAACAAGTCAATGTGATAGTCAAAATTATGGGCACAAACATAAGTCCAGTTAAGAATATTTAAATTGGGTTTAGATTATAAATTTGTAAATGAAAAATGAAAAACAAAAAGTAACATACATTTTATTTACTTTTTCTTTCTCATCTCAAATTCCTTCGAAATTCATAATTCAAACATAACTTTAACAATACTTAAATTATGGTTAGATTATAAATTTAAGTAAAAATTTAAATAAATAAAAAAAAAGAGCAAGGAAAATGTGAGTAAGACTTTGGAATCCCTCACATTTTTATTTTTTATTTTAAAATTTTGTTTGAATTTATAAGTCAAACATAATTCTAATATATATCCAATTTTAAAGGTAACTTGTGAGAGGAGAGAATGTTTGTTAAGGGGCTGACAAAATTGCTTCGTTAGGCATACGAACCCCACTCTATAGATCAATTAGTACATTATATCATTACTACACATGAATGTGAATAAGAGTATTTGACTTGATAAATGTACCATGTTCAAAGTTGAAAATTATTATCATTATCAATCAATGTGGCGACCAAACATCATAGGACGGTCGGTGGTCCATTTTAATAGGTCTTTTGTATATATTTTGACAAGTTAGTTAAAAATTGATTTTTTTTTATTTTTTAAAGTGTGTCAAAATAGATTAAAAATTAAAATTTGACTTTTTTTTTTTTTTTTTTTGGGTACATCGGAAATTAAAAGAAAAACAAGAGGACTAGGCCTCATTACTTCCATTCAGATACAACAAATCCGCAACTAACGCATGGCGAATTTCGTCTGGAGGTTCATTCACAATGAGCAGCTCAAGAGGTTGATTAGCTCCAAGTTTAGCTAAATTATCTGCACAAATGTTGCCTCATCTGCAGACATGTTGGACTGTACACTCACATCCCCTCAAGATGATCCTTGAGTCCTCCACAATGCCACGGAAAGGGCATTTAGTACCTGGTTCTTCATTTAGCAGCTGCACCACTTGTTCTGCATCCGTTTCGCTGATTACCTTGTTCATTCCTCACTGCAGAATGATCGTGAGCCCTTTATACACTGCCCAGAGCTCCGCCTCTAAGCTGGTGCATCTCTTCATTCTGCCATAATATCCACTAATCCAACTTCCTTTCTCATCCCGAAACAGCCCACCGAATCATCCATTGTTATTAGTACCTTTAAGACTTCCGTCTGTATTGAGTTTGATTCTCCCTGCAGGTGGACACAACCACAAAGATGAGCTTTTAGTCTGTAAAGGGGTATTAACAGCAGATTCAAAGGCTTTTTTAACTTCTTTAGTGTAATAAAAAATTAGCTTAACCGAAACATGCCAGTTTGGTTGTTTGTTCTCAAAAATCAATTTATTTCTATTTTTCCAAATAATCCATAGAGAGATAACAAAAAGCTGAGGTTGGGGAATGCTTCCCTTTAATATTCAGATAACCAAACATCAAAGGGGAGAGCACACATTTTCAAATACAAAGCTTGATCAAAAACCTGTTTCCAAATATTCATGGCATTAGGACAGAGCCGCAGTAAGTGGTCTAGATCCTCCACAGTTTCACAGCTGGGGCAATTGGGATTGTCACTGTAACCCCTCATGTGTCTGATTCTATTTGTCATTAGTTTCCCAATCAAAATAAGCCACAAGAAGCTCTTAACCTTTGGAGGAATCTTGAGTTTCCAAAGCCAAACCCAATTATTCTCCAAGGATTGAGGCTGCATAATAAGGTCATATGCACTAGATGTAGAAAAATCCCCATCAGGGATTTTCTCCATCTCGGTTTGTCCCTGCCACCATTATTTCTAGGGGGCTGAATTTTCAGAATCTCAGATATAATGGGCATAGGAAAAGTGTTATAGATGTGAGTTAAATTCCACTCCCCATTAATATCAACAAGGGAGTCCACAGTGGTATCCTCCATCTCAATGGCTTGCCTTGTGTTAGTAGTAGAAGCCTCAACCAAGGCCCTTTCACCACACCACCAGTCTTTCCAAACTCTCACCTTAGAGCCCCAACCTATGGTCCAATGAACCCCTTTGACAAGGAGATTTCTGGTATTCAGGATCGCTTTCCAGATATGAGAGGAAACTTTACTCTTCCTCTTACTGAGAAAGTGTTGATTTCCCAGGTATTTATTTCTCAGGACCTCCAACCAGAGACCCTCTTTCTCATTCAACAGTTTCCAGCCAAGCTTGGATAGTAAGGCTAGGTTTTGATCCATAGCCCTTCTAATCCCAAGGCCACCATTCTTTTTCTTATGACACACATGTTGCCAGTTGACTAAGTGCACTTTTTTCTTCTCCAAGGAATCACCCTAGAGAAAATTATGATTGAGTTTATCAATCTCATCACAAACCTTACGAGGAAGCTCCAATATCTGCATGGTATAAGCTGGGATGGCATTGGTCACTGATTGAATCAGTGTTGCCCTCCCAGCTAGAGATAACACCCCAGTTTTCCACCCAGCAAACTTTTGTTGCATTCTTTCAAGAATAGGTATAAAATGGTGTTTGTTAACTCTGGAGTGCAAAAGGGGAACTCCAAGATACTTACCTAGATTCTGAGTTAGACCAATACCACAAATATGACTCAAGTCTTTAGCCTTTCTCCTATCCACATTTGGAGAAACAAAGAGCTTAGATTTGGTGAGATTAACTCTCAGCCTAGAGAGCATACTAAATTCATTTAACACTTCAAGAATGGTTTGACAGTTCACAACATCAGCTTTAGCAAAGAACATCAAATCATCAGCAAAAAAAATGTGAGAGATATTAGGACCTTTCTTAGATAAAGGTAATCCCCTCCAGTCCTTAGCCTCCACTCTATGATTGATCATATTTGAGAGCCTCTCCATACATAAAACAAAGAGGTAAAGAGAGAGAGGGTCTCCTTGCCTAAGTCCTTTACTAGGTTTAAATTCTTCCAGCGGTTCTCCATTCCAAAGAATTGTGGTACTTAAGTTGGTAACACAGTCCATTACCATTTCAATAAACTTACAATCAAAATTGAATTCGAAAAGAGTTTGTTCAAGAAATTCCCAGGAAATGTTGTCATAGGCTTTTTCCAAATCAATCTTAAATATCATGTAGCCTGCTTTGCCTTTCAGTTTCCTTACGGTATGGATACCTTCTTGGGTTATGATAATGTTGTCACTGGTAGATCTCCCCGGAATGAAACTGCTTTGGTTTGGGCTGATAATACCATCAAGCAAAGGTCTCAATCTACTAACCAGAATTTTAGTAATGATTTTATATGTGACATTACAGACACTTATAGGGCGGAACTGTTTAATGGATTCGGGGTTATCCACTTTAGGTATGAGAGCTATAAGAGTTCTGTTAATGTCAAGAGGGATAATTCTGGTAGAGAAGCAATTACGCACAAGTTCAAAAATAGATCCCCCAACAATATCCCAATATGTGTGATAGAAAAAAGCTTGGAAACCATCTCTCCCAGGAGCTTTGAAAGCTTGAATGTTCTTGACAGCTTTCCAAACTTCCTCAGGAGTGATGTTTCTAACAATGTTAATGTCAAGAGGGATAATTCTGGTAGAGAAGCAATTACGCACAAGTTCAAAAACAGATCCCCCAACAATATCCCAATATGTGTGATAGAAAAAAGCTTGGAAACCATCTCTTCCAGGAGCTTTGAAAGCTTGAATGTTCTTGACAGCTTTCCAAACTTCCTCAGGAGTGATGTTTCTAACAAGGTCAAGGTTATCCTCAGTAGTGAGATGCCTAAACAGATTGTTCCAATGAGAAAAAGCAGTAGTAGGTGTATAAGAGAAAAGGTTCTTAAAGTACTCATTCACCAAGGCTTTCAACTCAGTAGCATTATCTACCCAAACCCCATCATTATTTTTGAGCACCTCAATCTTAGATTTTCTTCTTCTGATAATGGTGGAGAGATGAAAAAATTTCGTATTCCTCTCTCCCTGTGTGATCCAGTTAGAACGGGACATGTGAAACCACAACAACTCCTCTTGGTAAAGGACTTCATTGAATTACTCAATAAGTTGGTTTTCAAGGATGTGGAGGTTGTGGGAGTAACGAACGGCTTAAGCAGATTGTATGCCATTTATACGTCCCAAGAGCCACTTTTTTTTCCTGAAAATATTTCCAAACACATTTCTATTCCAATCTGTGGCCGAAAGGGCCAAGGAGTGAAGATTATCTAAAAGATGATATGGGTTAGTAGGCAACCACTGCTCCTCAACAAGTTTACGAAAACCGGTATGAGTAACCTAAGCAACTTGAAATTTAAAAGATTTAACAGGAGAAGGAGTTATAGATTTACCTTGAGTGAAGACCATAAGTGGTGAATGATCCGAATAGGTGCGTGGAAGATTGCGAACATAGCCCTCAGGGAAGAGAGTTCGCCATTCCGTGTTACAAAGCCTCAACAAGTCTACGAAAACCGGTATGAGTAACCTAAGCAGCTTGAAATTTAAAAGATTTAACAGGAGAAGGAGTTATAGATTTACCTTGAGTGAAGACCATAAGTGGTGAATGATCCGAATAGGTGCGTGGAAGATTGCGAACATAGCCCTCAGGGAAGAGAGTTCGCCATTCCGTGTTACAAAGGGCTCGGTCAAGCTTGACCATGGTGCTAGCCCACCCTTTACGATTATTAGTCCAAGTAAGCCTTGGCCCCACACACCCCATATCCATAAGCTTACAATCATTAATACGTTCAGCAAATTTTTTGCTTCTCCGACGAGTTTGGCTAATATTCTGGCTTCGATTTTGAGTAACTGAAAAGCTACGTTTTTTCTCAGAGCAAGAATAGTCATTAAAATCACCGGCAACCAGCCATGGTTCTTGGGTGTTTTGGGCTACAAATTCAAGCCCTTCCCATAACTCGTCTCTCATCCGGCTATTTAGGCTGGCATATACTGCTGAGAGCACCCATGTTGGATAATCTTGTCTAGAGATGGTTGCAGTAATCATTTGGGAGTTTGCCTCAGTAACACGAACATTAGCTTGACTGGGATCCCAAAGCATCCATATTCCCCCACTGCGGCCAACTGGGTCTACATGAGTTGAAACCATGAACCCCAGCTGATTGAAATACATACCCATAGTACTAAGTTCCACCTTAGTTTCTAGGAGGATGATCATATTTGGCCTGTGAAACCTCACAATTTCCCTCAGATTCCTCTTGAATCGATTGTTTCCCGCACCCCTACAATTCCAAAGCAGAATATCCATGGATGACATTTGGAGTTGTGGTATATCTTCCTCTTTTGTGAGGCCCAAGATGACTTTTGCTGTCTTCAGACTGTCCTCCAGCGTTGACGACGGCTTCACTAGCACAATGTGATTCACGTTGTGTGCATCCGTCTTCCTCCATGGTTGAATCAGAAGCATCGCTTCGTTTCTCCACCAATCTACGCCGACGTGGTGATAAGCTTCATTCCCTGTCTCTAAAAACATTAGAGCTCTGAATTGATCCACTCGGTGTTTCACTAGTTGAATCTTTTCCACTGATTCCTCCATCTACCTTCTCAAACAAGTCTGGAGGTTTTCGATGTCTGGGTTTGTGGGAGCTATCAAGAATAGACTCTGTTTTTCGTGCTTGTGGAGGGTCAGTAAAATGACTGAGAGGAGGCGTTACTTTTCTAGCTGGTTTATCAGAGCTGACATCTTTGAAAATAATACTAGTCCCTTTCGATTTCTTTTTGGAATGTTTCTCTTGTATTCTCGAAGCTATGCCATTGGGCCCTTTCTCACTGGCCTTTAGCTGATCTATATTGCTTACCGTGTGTTTTTGGGCTTCGTCTATCACCATTGCTTGGTTGACTACCAGTGGACTACCTGATGGGCCTTGCTCTATATCATTTGGGATTTCTCTTATCACCTCACTGGGTGTTATTGCAGATGGGATCTCCTGCGCCTGTTGTGGCCTGAATGTCCCCACTGGGGTGGGCTCCTCCTGTAGTGCTTCAAATTTATTCCCCTTGATGTGAGTTATTTTTTGTTTGGGCTTCAAAGTTTTTGCCTTTCGTCTTCTACTGGGTGCAGTGGTCCAAGGCCCAAAACCTTCAATACTATTCTCATTCAGCCCATCCACCCGTTCTGGTTCCCTAGACTTGGATGATTCTGCTTCATTAGTGTCTAGTTGAGTAGTGGCCTTACTCGGATTCATCTTCTTCGGCACTATCATCGGGTATTCTGTACACCTCTCTTTTCGGTGCCCTACTCTTCCACAAGCAAAACACAGAAGATGAACATGTTCATATTCCACCACATAGTTATATTTACCAATTCTGAGATGCGAAGTTAGGGGTTTACGGAGATCCATTTCAACACAAACTCGGGCATACTTGCCTCTGGCGGCCATAGCCGTATTGACATCAGCTTTCAATGGTGTGCCAAGAGCCTTAGCAATGTGGTATAGAATTTTTTCATCATAGTATTCAATTGGTAGATTTGGAAATCGAACCCAGATTGCAGTTGTGTCTTCCTCAGCCTCATCGGATTTAAAATCAGGTTGCCATTTTCACACAGTAACATAATGATCCATAACCACCCATGGTCCACTAGTATAGACTTTAGAGTAGCCTTCATCATTTCAAACTTCACAATGAAAAAACCATTTCCAATGTCCAGTACCTCGAAGTTTGCTTGAAGGATCCATACTCTTTGTATTCGAGTAACAAAAAGACTATACCCAATATTCTTACCCAGTAATTGCACAATAAGGCACTTTTTCCAGGGTTCTCTGACCTTCTTTAGCAAACCAAAAGGGATTTTGACTGTGGGGTTAGACCCATTGCCAATGATTTCCATACCTCCCTCTGATTCACCCTCATCGTCCATTTCCTCATCTGATGTGAGGTGCTCTGCATCATGGTCAAAGCTTTTCTCCTTCTCATTCTCATTGAATCTAGATCGCAAGAGCACTTATTTGAATGATTTCTCTTTGATCTAATTATTTAGCTTTCCATTCATAGAAACAGATTGGCCCGTTGTTGCATTTTGGTCCATTGGAACCTCATGCATTTGGGCATCTACCCTATGACCATGCCCCCCAACCGAAGTCGTGCCTTCTAAGGCTGGCTCTTTCACCTTTTTGTTACTCCGATCCAGATGACCTTGTTCCTCCGATGTGTGTTGCATCTCTCCAGAGCTTTTAACTTTAAACCTTCAAAGAGGTAAAGCAGATTGCTCTCGCCGGCGGCTGCTGTCACTGATACGTGAACGTAATTTGACTTTTAACTATGTTATATAAACCTCTATTGTTGGCTCTATCGGTTAGGGATGTTCTATTTTCAAATTTCTGTATTTATGTGTTTTTAATACAATTCCGACTATATAATGTGTGAAAATTTTGAAAATATGAAAATATCAAGATATCATTTTGAGATTTTGTTGGATGAGGATCTGGTACCATAATTTACTTATGTGGACCTAAAAGATGCTGGTAATTATCCTACAACAATAATATGTTTACATTGACATTTTTTTTTTGGATCGACAAAAGAGAAATTTTATTAATAAAAGGAATTAGCAATTACATAGATCAAACTGGAGAGAAATACATCATAGCTTGGAAGATGAATCTCAACTAAGTTCACATACCATCTAAAAAAAACTAAATTTACATCGACAGTTAGGAATCTTTTATCCTTAAAATCTCTATGTTTATATGTTCGTAATGCACTCTCAATCATGTACCATGTTAAGAATTTCGAAATATGAAAATATCAAGCTACGCTCCTAAATCTTGGAGTTTGTTGGATCATATAAACAGAGGATCTTGTTCCATAATTGGCTTAGGTAGACCTATAAATGAGGATAATTACTTTACAAAAATAATTTGCTTACGCAGATGATGAGCGATTTTTGGTCCTTAAAATTCTATGTTCATCTATTCATGATACAATTCTGATCACACAATCTATTAAAATTTAGAAGTGTCTTCGGCTTAACCGAGGAAGTTACCTCGACTTCAGCATTCTGTTGCTTCCTCTTGAGGTAATCTCTCAAGTCTTCTTTACTCCTTCCTGGAGCTCGGCTATCTCTGGACTTCAATCTCTTCAGCACACTACTTTCGGCCTCGTAGTGGGCTCGTTTTGATCTCTCTCCATGTGTTGTGTCAAAGCAAAGCGCCTGTCCTTGAACATGCCGATGTTCTTTGGGTTCTGGATCCCTCATGTGATGTGTCCTTCGGGACTCTTCTTGCCTTGGCTCCTCTCGTTCGACTTCCCTGGAAGGTCGGTAAGAGTGTCTTCCACTCCTGGTGTGCTGAGGGGCTTCGGGGATTGCTTTCCTTCCTTCCTTCTGGGTATTAATTGTTGGCATTGGCGTATCTTGCAGCGGGTATGGTGGCTGCATAACATTGTTCTGCATCATGAAGTTGACGACCGACTGAAGGTCTGCCAGCTTGTTTGCCAAGTGGCTGCATGACATTGTTTTGCATCATGAAGTTGACCACTGACTGTAGGTCTGCCAACTTGTTTGCCAAGTCTTTTACTTTCTCATCCCTCTGTAGGCACCTATCCCTCCATACCTGAAGGTTATCTTCGTTATAATACTTGCTTTGGTCTGTCCTCTTCGAAGCGTTGTCCTCCTGGCCAACGTCTTTCACTCCGTGGCCCTGGTCATGAGTTTCTGTATTGTGGTTGTCTCCTTCAACGTCAAGGTCAATTGGTCTGCCACTCCCAGCAGGAGTGTCGCCCCCAATGTTTTCCCTCTGTCCGTTACTGGCCATCTATTCTTCTAAGTTGCCACAGACGGCGCCAAATTGTGTGGGTGATTTTCTGACCACACTGCCCACCTAGTAATCAGCTGGAGAGCACCGGCAGAATAGATGGCTTCAGCAAACCTGTAACAGAAAGAAAAGGCTCCGGCGATGGCTCTTCCACCCGGGGGCACTCCGACGATCAAGTCAGTATATCTCTCAAAGATAATCAAGTGCTAAACTCACTACTCAAAGCATAAAACTGCGTACCTTAGACCCATGGGGGTGCCTCTTTTTTATAGTTTACTTAATCCTAGTCCTACTAGAAGCTTGACTTCTATGGACTCCAATTCTGTACTTACTTTGGATTTCTCAAGAGATAAAGATAAACTCCCTAAGAGCTTTATCCTTATCTTAGTAAAGTCTTCTCTTTACTCTAGGACTCTTGCCCCTTATCCATTATCCACTTATCTCGGATTCCGATATCTTCGGAGATAACCTCGGCCTCGCCGAGATAACCTCGGCGTCACAACCAGGACACGTGGCACTTCGGCTGACACGTCGGCGTCACCTTGCCATGTGTTGGTATTCAGAAAATACATCCCCACAGATAATGTTTAAACATAAAGAAAAATAACAAAGGGCCAAATATTTCAAAATGAATAAAGTCTTTAATCACACAGCTAATTCAATTGAGTGTCCAACTTTACAAGAGTGTAGTAGGTGCAAAGTGTTCAAAAGATATCCATAAGAAAGATTAGTGAGGAGAATTGATTTTTACAACCTGATGTACAACTCCATGTCCTTCAAACATAGTCACAGATCTTTCATATGATTTTAAACTAAAATGTTACAATTATATTTTTCATCTAAATTAACCAAAAGTGTCTCGCATGCCTATTTTGAGAGTAGGAAAGGGAAAAAAATTTAGTCAAACTTAAATTTTAATATAAGAAGACAAAACTAGTAGTATTGCTTTATCTTTTTTTTTTTTTATATATCTAATTTTCTTATTTAATAATATTTTAAATTAAACATACATATTATATATATAATTAAATTAACCTAAATACCTTAATTTATTATTACAAAAATTAATCATCAAACTACTTTAATCTAACTTTTAGTTTGTAACCCAATTTTTTATTTTATAACATTTTAAAATAAACATAAACATACACACACATATATATAACAAATTAAATTAAACACCCTAAAATTACCACACAATTACATTATTAAATAATATTTTAAATTAAACATATACATAATACATACATATATATATATATATATATACATATATAACAAATTAAATCATAAATTGACTTAAATAACTTAATTAAATCATAAAAGTACCTTAATTTAATTTTTAACTCAATTTATTAGTTAATAACATTTTAAATTAAACATATATATATATTAAATCATAAATTAATTAAAATTAAAAATTAATTTTATTAAAAAGATATATTTAGAAAATTCGAGTTTCTTATTTTTTTTTTTTGCTTAGTCATTGAGGTAAACTTATTTATTTATTTACAAAGAGAGTCAAAAATAGAAAAAGAATACATAAAGGGTAAAACTGTCTTTTTATGGTTAGCATTAATGGTGTTAAGATTGTATTTTAATCTAAAATCACATAGAGGGTATATGACTATTTTTAAGAGACAGGAAGTAAAGT